TTATTTTTGCTATGAGTTAGCTTTAATTTCCCAACTTATTGACATTTCCACCTGGGTTAAGTCATGCACTTGCCATGTTTCCCTATCCATACTTGCATTTAGAGGGCTTGCTAGAGAACAGGCTTTGCAGACACAGAGCCTGTGTTCAAATCACTGTTCTGACACTAATTAGCCGTGTGAACCCCAGGAAGCTACTTGACCTAGTGCTTCTTCCTCTATAGAGTAGAGATAATAATATTGGCCTCACAGGTTTATCACAAAGATTAGATCCTGGAGGTGATGAACATCCCATAGTACCTTAATGTAAAAGTCAATTAATAGCTAAAAAAAGAACAGATAAGTTGTCATTGATGCTATGGACAAAAACCAGTTTGGAGGGAAGGAATAAAATTATGGTCTAGTTGCTGTTAAAATTCCTAAAGTATTTTACTTCATCATTAATTCAACTCACATTTTTTTTTCCATTTAAAAAAGGGGTTTCACATCATGTCTCATTCTACTAACAGTTTCATCTTCCCACATCACCAATTTTATCACTCTATCTCTTCGGAAGAGTTGCCAGGAACTTCTCATTCTAAATCCTCAATATGGCATCTTCTATTCTTTAGCATTCTGTCCCTAACTCTTCAACTTGACCTTCCACTGCTTCAAACCAGCTCTTACACCTAGTCAGGTCAGAGTTCTCACCATTCTCCAGGAATGCAGATATAATCTCCAACTCCTGGTGTTACATAAGATACGGTACCTGTATTCAAGGGGCCCGAGTGTAGACAGAAAGACAGACCAACTATAACAGAAGGTAACAAGGGAGTTGGCGATCTGTGTGAGCAAAAGTTTATGGGAAAACAGATGAAGGGGTGATTAATTCAGCCAGGGGTGGGGATGTGGTGGGTGGAAGTGCTGGAAAAGGCTTCAGAGAGGAAGTGACACTTGAGTCAGGCATTGGTGGATGAGCACGGTTTCATCTGGGCAGAGGGGACAGCATGATCCACGCCTGAAAGTGAGCAGTCCTCATCTAAGGCCTCAGAGCAGATGGCGGCAGGGATGGCTGACGGGGGAGAGACAGAGCTGACGAAGCTGCAGGAGCCAGGCTGGGAAGTGCTTTGTTGCTCTACCAAGAAACCTAAAAAAAGGAGCCTTCCTTTTCCTGAAGTCCTGGAGCAGCTCTTCTTTGTGCACTCATTTAGGCGATCATTTTTTATGTGTGTACTTTTTAAAAAAAATTGTACAAGTGATTTATAGACCCCTGGAGAATCAGGAAAAACCCCCTCTAAATGTCACTTTCTTCTTTCCTCTGAAAATGAAGAAAGGGATAGTTTTCTTATGCCATAGGGCTCCTATGATAATTCAATAAGTATTTAGCAAATGTTTGCTGCTCAGTTATTCAATAGCAATAATTGACCATTTGTTTACTATGTGCACAGGACCTGTGCTAGATTCCTGTTATACAGTGACAAGTTAAACGGGGCTTTGTAGTCTATTGTAATCGTAATTATTTTTATTGTTACTATTAATTTAGATCTTTAATAAATACTATTTAAACAAATTAATGTGTTTCAGCCACATCAATATCCTATCCGTGGTTGGACTGACTCCCTCTTGCTCTGGTCCTGAAGTGTGCTACATGACTGGTTGACTGACAGGAGCTGCCGCATCCAACATTCATGGGGTCCAGCAGTCACACGATTATGCAGCTTTGGTAGATGCATTGCTCTATGTTCAGCAAGCAAAGTGACCCCAGAAGGCTCTAGATAAGAGCAACCTCAGAAGCACGACCATCTGTGCTCAAAAGCAGTTCAGGTCACAGCTTAGTTAAATTTGGGCTCGCTGACCTGTTGTTACAACTTGCAATGACTAGAGCCCAGGAAAGTGGAACTCTAGAATCCTGAAATTCCATGATAAAGCTATATATTTGTTTTCACTGCTGGTGAAATGAGCACACAAAAGCAAACACTGCCTAAGTTCAGGGAGATGTGATGACTCCTGGCTTGATTAAGGGGTGCACTTGTTGATCTCTAAGGAGTAGAATCACCAACCACAAAGAAAGGTACATATTTTGTATTTTGTATTGAGACCTGATCCCTAAAGACATCTTGGGTCTGGGCCGGGCGCAGTGGCTCACGCCTGTAATCCTAGCACTCTGGGAGGCCAAGGTGGCAGGATCACTTGAGCTCAGGACTTCAAGACCAGCCTGAGCAAGAGTGAGACCCCATCTCTACTACAAATAGTAAAAGTTAGCCAGGTGTGGTGGTGCACGCTTGTAGTCCCAGCTACTGAGGAGACTGAGGCAGGACAATTGGTTGAGCCCAGGAGTTTGAGGTTGCTGTGAGCTAGGCTGACACCATGGCACTCTAGCTCAAAAACAACAACAACAACAACAACAATACAACTTGGGTCTGCTGACCTCTGGCAGAAGCATTGGAATGACTACACAGAGTGTGGCCCATAGCCATGCCAAGTAGAGTAATATTAACTCCTTGGATACAACCATAAGAATAAAACATGTAATGGCTTACCAGTAAACAATTTTTTTTCATGTATTGTATTGTTTTAACTTTGCCTCTATTTATTTGCTGCTCAGCTTAACTTTTTGCATTTAAAAAAATTTTTTTTTTTGGCAGCTAGCTATCCTGGGTGCAGATTATTTCTGCTTATCGATTGTCTTCTTTTCCTGCAAGGGGACATTCTAATGTGTCTGCAGGCAGTACCCCAACCTCTAATCAGGAGTGGAGTACAGAGCTATACCCTCTTCTGTGCACACAAGATAGAATCTTTAATCTCTTTGCATGTTATTTCTCCTGATTCCTTTTGGTTGGTCTAATAATTACTTTAGGCTCTCTTGTGAGCAGTTTATGATTCCTGATTTGTGCAAGCTATAGCTTTCCAAGAAAAATGTCAGGCAACGACTTTTCTATAATTTTTAAACATCTTTAAAAATTCCCTTTTAAAAGAAATTTGCAAATTTAAAGAAGATACTAGAAGCAGATATGATCGATATAGATGCCAAGATCTAACTATTAGAATGGGGCAAAATTTAAAAGTCTGATCGTCTATGTGCCCCAACTTAAATTACTTTGAATTATGTTTTGTGAAAGATTACCCCAGCATCCGAGAAAAGTATATGTGGTGTTTGGAGCTGTGGCAGGATGTACCTTCAAGTAAAAAGTCACATTTGTTAGAAAATTAGAAATGGTGGATGAAGGTATCCGGGTAAGAGAATAGGCTGAGAGAGCCTTAACCAAAGTTAAGCAAACAACAAAAGCTAAACAATTCTACGATCACACTGGAGAAGCAATCAGCAGCTGCTGGGAGAAACCATTTGGGACTTTTCAAGCTGACCTCTGACCTACATCAGCCACCCGATGAGTCAGTACTTTTTAACCTGAAGTAACCTGACTGCATAAAGCGCCTGTGTAATGTCCCTCAGTATGTAGAGCAACATTCCCAAATCTCAACATGTCTTCACAACGAAGTAACCTTTCTTTATTTGTGAACCAAACTGTGAGTGACTTGTAGACTGAGGCAGGTGGCAGAGAAAGGAGGCAAGGAAGCAGGAGCTCAAGTTACCCATAAAGATCATGAAAGCCAGACAAATCGGGGGCATCACATCCCCAGTGTGTTGAAGGAAGGTGTTATCCTAGAGGCCCTCAGCTGAAAAATACCTTGTCTTCCACTCTGAAGAGAAAAAAAAATTAAATGTCCAAGTCTAAATACTCAGGACTGACTGCCTGGGGGACTGCGCTCACAGAGACTCATCCCAGAAGGGGCAGTTGACGCAGTGGGCACGTGCCACCATGGGTGCTGTCAGCCCCAGGCCTGCTGCCGTGGGCTGCAGAGTCGGCATGGAGACCAGGCAGCTGAACCGGCATTTACTCCAGGTTTCAAGGCAGAGCTCAAACGATGCTTTAACTGATTTTGCAAGTAGAGTCTGGATTATCCAGGGCAAGGTGTGAGGACCAAAGGAGAGCTTCACCCAACCAGCCTTGGCTCCTGTCCTGTATTCAGTGCTATCCAGCAGCAATTATTGAGCACTAATCATATGTAAATTACTGTGATATAAAATAGTTCATGTCTTCAAAGAATTTACAATCTAGTGGGAAAAATAAAACATAAAAAAATAACGACAAGGCAAAAAAAAAAAAGTAAGTTCCTTTAGACAGCAACAAAGAATTACACTGGATCCTATGGGGTCTATCTAAGATGGAAGGTGTCAACTTGGGGATAGTCGTGAAAGGCAGAGGCCTAGAGAGGGAGGAGTAGATCCTAGGTAGAGGAGATAGAAACATCCCAGGTCAGCTTACATCCCCTTTAAACATAACAACCTGAAACCATGTGGCTTTCCTATAATAGACATGAATTGCCACCCAAAAATGAGGGAATGCACTATTTGTCATTTATGTCACCTATAGCCTGCTTTTCATTTTCTACATCATACCTAACCGAGTAAATTGTGATAGAAGGTGGGACCTAGCCAACGTAGTCACTTTCCCCCAAATCAAAGCATTCAGCTTTAGGGTAAAAATGGATCCTTTCCCTATTGTATCTAACAATGGGCTGAGGTTCAGAGCTTTTTTCAGCTGAGCGCCGGCCTTATTGACTTAAAAGATCTTAATGACACATTAAATATTATAAGAGTCTCTGTGCCCAGAGTCTGTCAAATGATCTCTGTGCCCTGCCTCTGCTAGAGCAGACACTATGTGCAGAGAAGAAGACAAGAGAATGTAGGACAAGTCCTACTGGCCTGACAAGGGTACCACCTAATTCCTATGACGAGTCCAGTGCAGGTGACATGTTCTCTGAGGTGTGGATAGGCAGTTAATTTCATGGAGAGTAGGAGGTGTGGATTCAGCTCTTTTTTTTTTTTTTTTACAGTGGGGCATTATCTAAACGATACTCATTCTCTCTTGAATCTAGGCTTCATGCAACAAGCAGCAACTGGATGTTATTTTAAAACAAGCATAAGCCACTGAAACACACTGATCTGGATCCTTCTTTTGGAAGAAGAGTTGGTTGAGAAGTGCTTCTTGGCTAAGGATTAACCACACGGAGACAGCCAGCAGAAACAGAAGAACTGTGGGTTTCTTACCCCAGCCCCCAAGGAAGCTATGCCATGAAAAGGCTACCGACCCACTGACACACAGCAAGTTGGACGGGGCATCAATTCTTCTTTTGAGGAGCAGAGAAAAAAGAGGAAGTCTCTTATTCCGAGCGTCTGAAGGATGGCTTCCCAATGCCATCAGCTTCGGATCCTGGTCTGGAAAAATTGGCTAGGTGTTAAAAGACAGCCGGTGAGTTAGAAGAAAAAAAAAAAAGGTGGGGGGTGGGAGGCATGGGGTAATACTCTAGGCAATCCTAAAATGGGATGTTAATGAGAGATAAAAATAAGAGAGTTTAAAGGCATTTTCCAAAGCAGGAAATAAGATATTTAGAATTCATCCCTCTATCTGTCTTATGGCTAATAGAGCGAGTCTTAACGTGCCCCAAAAGCAGTCTTTTGAGTTCAGTAAATTAAAAGAGTAAAACCAGGACATGCCCCAGGCAAAGAAAAGGATGTGCCTTGTTACTGGCTGAATTGGAGCTAATGTTGAATTCCAGGTTCGGGCCAAAATGCTTTCAGAATTTTTCTTAATGAGTTTAGTTAAAGATGAGATGAAGGAAAACAAAGTATCATTTGAAAGCTACAATAAATGGGAAGAAATGTACTAGCAAACCAAAAGCAATAATAAGCTTGGCTGAAAAGTATGATTTAGAGCAGAAATAGTTTGAAGGCTGTTAGTATAGGGAAGCTTTTAAGAAATTCCAGTTATCTAAAAGTCATTTCCTGGAAATGCCAAACAAGACTAATATGTGCCATGTTTTAAGAGTATTATGGAATAACTTGACTTTCCTGATACAGTCTCTTTTCTCTTTATTCGTTGCAACATCTTTTTTGTGCTCTTTCCTTAATATTTGCCTGTTAAATTAGAAAATCAGCTATTAGATCCTCACCAGGTAGAGTCAGGAAGATTGAGAAATTGCCATATATTCAGAAGAATGTTGGGAAACCAGGGAAGTTCAAAAAGCCATCCAAGCTACTTTGTTTTAGAGTGATAATTCCCAGCCTTGAATGAGTAATATAAATATTATGCAAATAATCTGCGTCATAGAAACCAACCTTTTATCTATGCATCTCATCTCCCGGCTTGCTTGAAGTGCCTGACACCTTACTTGAGTGTTCTGACGAGTGTATTAAGAGAAGAAAGTAGATGTTTACTTACTTTCGTGAATTTGGTGGATAAGGTTTAAAACCATAAGGCATCATGTGATTGCATGGGTGTGGGGTTTGGAGATAAAATTACAAACTTATTCATATTTTTATTTGTTTTTTAACTGGAAAAGTAAACACAAAAGAGAAACTCATGTGGTTGATACTGTTTCACATTCAGCAGGGAGACAGTCCTGAGTGTGTGGATGTGGTCAGAGGGCGAGAGTTGGGACTCCTGTCATTGTTCCTCATGTGACTTACGTAGCACATGACAATTTGTCTAAGCACGGGTTTTCCTGCTTATAAAATGAGCATGTGCCCTGCTGCATCTAATTCATAGTAGGGGAAGAACCAAATATGCTAATGCATTTCAAAGTTTAATACTTTATATTAATGAATGGTAAAACACTTGGCACATAAATTAGTGAAGGATTTGGGGTAATGTGAGTGTTCTTGTTTTACTCAGATCAAAGGTGAAAGGAAATCCAGGAGAAGGGAGTGTAGAAGAAATTTACATACAGTAAAGTTCATAAGTGATGAAAATGCAATAGTTAAACACAAAAGCATAGAAGAGCTAAAAACTGATATTTGTTATGCCAATAATCTGAATGCTGAGGTATGTTTTCCTTAGAAGTCTATTTTGCCTAAAAAATTATTTTTTTACAAAACCTCAAAACCTCAGGTGAATAAATGTTTTTCACTGAGAAATTTTATCTTTAGAAATTTTAATGACAAATCCCTTCCTTATCTGTAAAGTAGTAGGTATACCAAGTTTTAACTTCAGGATTTTTCTTCACTTTAGTCAGTTTCTGATGGACATGGTGAAATATTTAGAGACAATGCAAGTCAGATATGTAAAAACTGTTTTCACCATGATAACCATATTGTTCTCATCTACCCCAAATCTCTGGAAAGCCCCTGGTAATTATACTTTTCCTAGGGAAGGAGACTACATGAGCTATGCGTTCATTTGGGGACATGGAATGACTTCCATCAATCTTAAGTACACCTTGAGAGAATGGGACACAGGACAGATAAGTCTTGGTTGCAGGAAGTGAGGTCAGAGAAAGTCCAAAATTTGGGGCAATACAGAGGCCAACCTGAATCTACTATGACCAACCAGAGGGACAAGAGAGACATGCAGAAGACAGTGGTGGCAAAAGGGGAAGGAAGGACAGTTTTAAGTGGAGGGCAAAGGGGCACAGGAAGACACATTTCTTCCTTCACAGTTTTCCCTGAGTTGACCTCTAGCTCTTGGTGTTGGGAAGAAGACTTGAGGACCCATGTGGAAAGGATATACAGGTGGTAGCATTATCCTTGAGAGGGAAGAGTGAGAATAGAAAGAGATTGAGATGTTGGAATTAAAGATCTAAGGGCAATAAAATGAAACAAAATGTGTAAAGAGAAAATATAGACAAATTAGAAGACAAGGACTGTGATAAGGTCATGTGAATTTGAGGAGAGGACATAGGCTTTGTGTAGGAACTGGATTTGGTAAGTAAGCATTTAATCAAGTAATCATTTAAGGTGCAAACATTTCCATACTTACATAATCACTCTAATAATAGTACTTTAAAAATATACTTTTATTTTATATAGAAATAGAACATCAAGTATTGGGACACTGGAAATGCATGGTACTGACTAAATGTTACAGAAAAATGGGGGCATCACCACCATAACAACCTCCCCTAAATTTTTTTTAAGAGATTCCACCATAAAGCAAGGTGGTGGAAAGAATAATCTATCAGGGAAGAAGTTAAGAATCTATTAATGAAGAAGTAAATCACATACAAAAAAAAACAAAAACAAAAAAAACCCAAAACAAAAAGCACCCAAAATATATGTAATAATACTATTAAGGTAGATTGAGGATTACTGAAGGAATATATTTATTAAAATATGCTAGAATAGAAAGTAAAAAAAGAATTATAAACAGCCATACAGTCTGAGAAATACAATGAGAATGGGTTAAACTAAATGTTGAGTTTGGGGTTAAAAAAAAGTGGTCTTTAATTTTTTAGGTGACCTCACACAAAATTTTTCTTGGTTAAATCTTTCTTTTTTTTAAAAAAAATCAAATATCAGAATTCTGGAATATTTGGAATTATAAAACTCACTCAATTTATAGGGTCCTAGAGAGCTCAAGGGACTCACCAAGGTCACACAGTGAATTTAAAGCCCAAAGTCAAATTGCCAGGGATCTATTCTTTCCATGACCTCATGCTGCTTCTCTGTCCCTCTTGAGTTGAGTTTACTTTTCCAATATTCTCTGATCCTTGCTCAGTGTATAGCCCATCAAAGAAGAGATCACATCTGCTAAGGAGGCCTTGGAGATTGCCATTTTTTAATATTCGTGGTAATATCAATTCTCAATTGTATTGCAAAAAAAAAATAGAATACTAAAGGATAGTTAAAAAAATACATTAAGCACAACAGAAATGTTAGATAATAGAGAAAATCAATTAGATGAAGTTAATACCCTGCTGGGCTTGTAATTTGACTCTAAAAATAATGGAAAAATGAAGATACATTCCAGCAGAGATGGTTAGCAACAGGGAGGCTTACCTAATGAGTTGCTAGTAATGGCAGGAAGACAACAAAGAGATTGCAGGCTAAAAGACTAGATAATACAAGATAAGAGTTTATCTTCCATTAAGAATATGAGTCCTAAATAGGCATATTAAGGAGTGACTTCAAATCTCTACTGAAGTGGAATCTAATGGTAGCATTCTAAATCTGAAGAAGGAAAATTAACTTCAGTTGTAATGGATCACACTTTAACTCAGTTGATGGTAGCAGTAGCTTCTCTATCTCAGACGGTCCCACAGCTTGCTACGATCTGGCATTTTGGATCAAGCATGATACCTCCTTCCACAATCCCTACCTTATTCATAACACTTTCGTTCACAGTGACTAGAGAAAGAGAAAGACTGAGCTTCAAAATTTTAGAGCAGGTTCGTCTATACATTAAAGTAATTTTTAGATTAAAACAATTTAGGATTAAACCCTAATCTCAACATAATTCTAAATCAGATTAAAATAAACTAGGCCCTACACAATTTACTCAACTGTGTGGTTGAGTCCCTTTTACCTCTTTGGGTTATTATCATTTACTCCCTTAATCCCTTTTAATTGCTCAAAAAATTTAGTTCTACCTGTTGATGATAGTGCCTGACATGTAGTAGACAGGCACATTTTATTAATGCAGTCAATCAATAAAAAGTAACTGAGCTGAAGTTGTTTCAGAAGTGGGAGCAATAGAGAAGTAAGTTGGCTTAATGTCTGATAAAAAATGTTCTGTTTCCATATATACCATAGAAAAGTACCCATCTCCAAAGTGCAAATCTAGAAGTATGGATTTCAGAAAGCTTTCTTGATTTTAGTTTTTAGTAGAGTTGTTTATATGGATGGAAGTGTTATAGAACAAAAAGCCCAATTCATTGAGAACTCTGAGCCATTTTTATTTCCTTGCTGGGGAGCTAAAGTTCCTCATTGGGAAACTAAGATTTTTCATGGAAACTATAGTTTATTCTAGATCTCAAATAATAATTTCTTACTTTAGAATGTGAACCTTGAAATCCTCTTATTACTACAAGTAACAGTCATCCTTGTCTATAGGACAATGTAAAAAGAAATAGAAAAGGAAGAAAGAGAGAGTGTACTTTATATATGGAAGGCTGGGCAATTTTTATTTTCAGGTTTGCAATAAAAAGTTATAATTCTAGGTTTCAGGAAGACCTTTAGATGACTTTCAATACTCTCATACAATAAATTAATAAAACTATAGTATTCAGATCAAAGACAGCTTCTAATCAAATGGATTGTAGTGGTTTAGCTATATAATTGTAGTGGGTTAGCTATATAATGCAATGATTAATTGTGCTAGTGAAACCAGCCTCCCTGGCTTCAAACACCAGCTACACCATTGGTGGCTTATGGATAGAAAGCTTATTTTCTCTCTTTAAGATTCTGTTTTCCCAATCTGCAAGAGGAAATGAGGTTATTATGTTAAAATGAGATAATACATGTTAAATCTTTAAC